CTATGCTGTTTTTATTGCTATAGCTCTATGGTACAATTTGAGGTCAGAAAAAGTGATACTTTCAACAGTTCTTTTGTTATGTAGGGTTGTTTTAGCTTTACTGTGTTTTTGTGTTTCCATATGAAACTGATAATTTTCCTTTCAACGTCCGTGAGGGAATTTTGGTGGGGATTGCATTGAATGTGTAGATTGCTTTAGGAAGGATGGACATTTTTAATATGTTATTTCTACCAGTCTATGAGCATGGGAGATCTTTTCATCTTCTGGTATCTTCTGCAAGTTCTTTCTTAAATGTCTTAAAGATTTTTATCATACAAATCTTAAACTTGCTTGGTTAGAGTTATCTCTAACCAAGGTATTTATATTATTTGAAACATTGTTTCTCTGATTTCTTCCCCCAGCCATTTGTCTTTTTTACAAAGGAGGGCCACTGATTTTTGTGATTTAATTTTGTGTCCAGCTACTTTGCTGAAAATGTTTATCAGTTATAGGAGTTTCTTTGTAGGATTTTTAGGGTCACTTATGTATATTAGCATCATCTGAAAATAAAGATACTTTAACTTGTTTTTCTTTCCCCATTTGTATCCTCTTGATCCTCCTCAGTTGTTCTATTGTCCTAGCTAAGACTTTAAGTATTATAGTAAATAAGTATAGAGTAGAGAAACTTTTCTTATTCCTGATTTTAGTGGAACTGCTTTGAGTTTCTCTCCATATAAGCTGATGTTAGTTATGGGCTTGCTATAAACTGCCTTTATCATGTTAATTTATTTATCCCTACTCTCTCCAGGACTTTTATGAAGAAGAGGTGTTGGATTTTTTCAAAGGTTCTTTCTGCATCTAATGAGATATTCATTTGCTTTTTCTCTTTCAGTTTTATATGGTGTATTACATTCACTGATTGTTGTACGTTGAACCATCTCTGAATTTCTGGGATGAAGTCTACTCAACCATGGTGGATGATCTTTGTAATGTGTTCTTGGATTCAGTTTGCAAGTATTTTAGTGAGAATTTCTGCAGCTATTTTCATCAGGATGATTGTTCTGTAATTCTCTTTCTTTGTTGAGTCTTTGTGTAATTTGGGTATCAGAGTAACTGTGGCCTCATAAAGTGAATTTGACAGTTTTTCTTCTGTTTCTATTTTGTGGAATAATTTGAAGGGTATTGGCACCAACTCTTTTTTTGAAAGTATGGTAGAATTCTGTGCTAATACCATCCATCCCTGAGCTTTTTGGTTTTTTGTTTGTCTTGTTTTTTTTGGGGGGGGGGGAGTGAAAGGATTTCCACGGCGCAGCTTGGGACAAATCACAGCAGGCCAAGATGGTTCCACGAGGGGAGGTTTATTAAGAGAGTGGGAGAGCAAGAGGAGAGAGAGAGAGAAGTAGAGAAGAGTAGAGGCCGGCCATGACCACGTGGAGAGAGGGAGAAGAGAACGGGAGAGGGGAGAGGATAACCTGCAGGTGCTCAGGGTTGAGGAGCAAGAGAGAGAGGAGGGGCCAAGCAGCCCCTTTTATAGTGGGCAGGGTTACCTGCCTGTTGCCAGGTAACTGTGGGGCGGAGCATACCTGGCTGTTGCCAGGTGACTCTGGAGGTGGAGTTTAACAGATTGCTAACAGGGAGGGCTAAGAGATTTTAAATAACTGCTTCTATTTCACTAGGGGTTATAGGTCTATTTAAATGATCTGATCTTGATTTAACTTTGGTAAGTGGTATGTATGAAGAAAAGTGATTCTTTTAGATTTTTCAGTTTGGTGAATTTTTTTTTTTTCGAGACAGGGTTTCTCTGTGTAGCCCTGGCTGTCCTGGAACTCACTCTGTAGACCAGGCTGGCCTCAAACTTGGAAATCCGCCTGCCTCCCAAGTGCTGTGATTAAAGGTGTGCACCACCACCGCCTGGCTATTGTGAAGTTTTAAAGTATATCCTTTTGACTCTCTGAATTTCCTCGGTATCTTTGTTATACTTTCCCTTTTCATCTTTAATTTTGTTTATTTGGATTTCTCTGTCTCCTTTTAGTTAATGAGAATAAAGATTTGTCAGTCTTATTGATTTTATAGATAACTAGCTCTTTGTTTCATTGATTTCTTTTTATATTGTTTGTTGTGGTTATTGTTTCTATTTTTCTTCCATCTCAGCCCTGAGTTTGATTATTTCTTGCCATCTACCTCTTCTGGATGTGGTTTCTTTTTGTTCTCAAGCTTTCAGGTGTGCTGTTAAGTTACCAGTGTAACAACATCTCTCGTTTTTTTCAGGCACTTAGTGCTACAAATTCTCCTATTAGAACTGCCTTCATTGCGTCCCATAAGTTTGGGTATTTTGTGGATTCATATTCATAATATTATAGAAAATCTTTCATTTCTTCTCTTTTTCTTTTTCTTTCTTTTTTTCTGGGGTGGTAGTGGTGTTTGGTTTTGGTTTTTCAAGGCAGGTTTTCTCTGTGTAGTCTTGGCTGTCCTGGAATTCACTCTATAGACCAAAGTGGCCTTGAACTCAGAGATCCACCACTGCCTGGCTTAATTTCTGTATTGACCCATTGTCAGTCAGTAGTGAGTTGTTCAGTCTTTATGACTTTGTAAGCTTTCTGTTTCTGTTGTTGGTATTAATCCAGTTTTAATTCAAAGTGGGCAGTTATGAAACAGGGTATAATTTCAGTTTTCTTGTACCTGATGAGATTTGCTTTATATCTGGGTCTGTGGTTCCAGGAAGTGCTGAGAAGGTAGAAGACTCTGCAACAGAGTAGTATGCAGTATTCTTCCCTAGTTCTTTTGGTTAGTTTTGGTTTGATGTCTATTTTGTCAGATATTGAAATGGCTACACCAGCTTGCTTCTTAGGTCATTTTGCTTAGAATATCTTTTCCCATCCTTTTACCCTTGTGTATCTATTCTTTTTTTTTTTTAAAATATTTATTTATTTATTTTATTGATGAATACACTGTAGCTGTCTTCAGACACACCAGAAGAGGGCATCCAATCTCATTACGGATGGTTGTGAGCCACCATGTGGTTGCTGGGATTTGAACTCGGGACCTCTGGAAGAGCAGTCAGTGCTCTTAACCGCTGAGCCATCTCTCCAGCCCTTGTGTATCTATTCTTAATGTTAAGATCAGGTTTTTTGGATGCAGCAGAAGGATGGATTTCGTTTTTGCATCCATTCTGTTAGTCTTTGTCTTTTTATTGGAATGGTGAGACCATTGGTGTTGATATCAATGAGCAGAGTTTGCTGATTTGGGTATGTAGTGGTGTGTGGTGGTGGTGGTTGTGTGTGTTTGCACACTTCTCCTCTTATGATTTGTTGGTCTGTGGTTATTTACTTCTTGTGTTTTCTTGAATGTGGTTATCCTCTTTAGGTTGGAGTTTTCCTTCTATTACATTCTCTAGGCCTGGATTTGTAGATATTGCTTAAATTTGGCTTTGTCATGGAGTATCTTTTTTTTTTTTTTGTCTATTGTAATCAAAAGTTTTGCTTGTCGGGGCTGGAGAGATGGCTCAGTGGTTAGGAGCACTCACTGCACTTCCAGAGGTCCTGAGTTCAAATCCCAGCAACCACATGGTGGCTCACAACCATCTATAGTGAGACCTGATGCGCTCTTCTGGTGTGTCTGAAGACAGCTACAGTGTATTCATATATAATAAATAAATAAATCTTTAAAAAAAAAAAAGTTTTGCTTGTCATAGTAGTCTGGGCTGTCATCCATGGTCTCTTGGAATCTGTAGCACATATATCCAGGCCCTTCTGGGTATTAGAATCTCTACTGAGAAGTCAGGTGTTATATGTTACTTGGCCTTTGTTTTTTGTTTGTTTGTTTGTTTTTTTTGTTTTTGTTTTTGGTTTTCTCTGTATAGCCCTGGCTGTCCTGGAACTCACTCTGTAGAGCAGGCTGGCCTTGAACTCAGAAATCCGCCTGCCTCTGCCTCCCAAGTGCTGGGATTAAAGGCGTGTGCCACCACCACCCGGCACCTTTGTATGTTTTAATATTCTTTCTTAGTTCATTCTATACATTTAGTGTTTTGATTATTATTTTCCAAGAGGAAATTTTCTATTCCAGTCTATTTGGTGTTCTGTATCCTTCTTGTAATTTGATAGGCATCTTCTTTTTTAGGCTAGGAATTTTTTTTTTCCTATGATTTGTTGAAAATATTTTCTGTGCCTTGACCTGGTTTCTTCTCCTTCCTTTATTCCTATTTTTCTTAGATTTAGTCTTTTCATAGTGTCCCAGATTTCTTAGATATTTTGTGCCAGGAGTCTTTAGATTTAACATTTTCTTTGACTGATGTACTCATTTCGTTTATTGTGTCTTCAGTGCCTGGGATGATTTCTTTCATCCTGCGTTCTATTGTTGAAGATTTGTATCAGTGAGCCTACAGTTTTTATTTCCAGATTCCCCCAGTGTGAGATTTCCTTACTGATCTATTTCCACTCTCAGGTCTTGAATGCTTTCATTGATTTCCTTTCACTGTTTGTGTTTTCATAGATTTCTTTAAGGAATTTATTCATTTCTTCTTTAAGGACCTTTATCCTTTTCATAAAAGCTGTTTCAAGGTCTTTGTCTTGTTTTTCAGCTCTGCTTCTGGGCTCCAGTGGAGACACACTATCTTGGCTGTTACCATGTTTTTTATGATGTTGTCTAAGTACCTGTGAAAGATTTTGGTGCGCAGCTTAGACAGACAACACCAGACCAGACGGTTCCACGAGGGGAGGGGGTTTATTTAGGGCAGAGGGCAAAGGTGGGGAGAGAAGATGGTGGGGAAAAAGAGAGAGAGGTTAGAGAGTTCTGCCTATTTATATGAACGATGACGTATTCTTTTCCCAGGTAAAGGTGAGGCAGCCAGGTGGATTCTGGGAGTGTATAGCGGTTGCCTTGGCAACGATGTGGGAGTCCCCTGGCGAGCTGATACCAACAACCTGAGTTTTAGAAACTTGTAATTCTGGGTGCTGATATCTGGTCTTGTCTTTGTTGGGTCCATGTTTGCCTCCTTGCTTTCTGTTGCCTTCTTTGTTTCTTAGGAGGTTGTGGTGGCTGCTTGTTACCTGGTGTGGAATTCTGGGATCCCGCTAGGCGTGGTAAATGGGGTTTTCAGGTAAAATGTATTTCTAGGTATTGGGAGCTGACACTTGGGAGTGAGGATAGGAGGTATACTGAGGGGTCCACAGAAGGGAGGAAAGCAGGGCATTCCACCAGGATTTGCTTAGTCCCCAAGAATGGAGGCAGAGAGTGAGGAGAGGCCACACGTATTCTGTTCCAGAATCAAGGATACGATTGGAGAATTAGATTTGAATCGGAGGAGAGAGAATGAATACCTGCAGCTTGCCGGCCTGCTTTGCTGCTTCACTTGTTTCTCTGTCAGGCTTGGCTGGTGAATTTCCAGGGAATTCACCTGCTAGAGTAGGGGGCTGGGTAACAGCAGGAGCGTAGGGAAGGCTGGAGGAGAAAGCCTGTGTGATCTATTGGAGAGGGGGACAGAGAAGAGGGGGAGGCTACAGCAGGTGGCTACTACAGAGAATGAGAGATTGGCTTTGGAGGCGAGGAGGGAGAGCTGGAGCTCTCCAGTCAGCCTTCCTGCTTCCCTGGATGGATAGCCTGGTTCTCTTAACTTTACTGAAACATTTGGCAACCTTTTTATTTCTGCATTGCATCAGTCAGATTTGGGTCATATTGCAATTACTGAAGCAATCACGATCAGGGATTGCTATTATGTCACTGAGTTATGCTGAACAAAGCCCACCACCCCCTAGGGATGGAGCTCAGCTTGGCTCCTTCTGAAGCAGAGATGGTGGACCACAGTGGCTTCCATCAAGAGGAAATCTGGTTGGATGTTAAAAGGCTTCATCTGAGCACTCTTGGTTGCTTTGCATAACAAATACCTGCCAACTCTCAGTTATTTGAGATAAGAAAACTTGCTGGGTGGGCAGTGGTGGCTCACACCTTTAATCCTAGCACTTGGGAGGTAGAGGCAGGCAGATTTCTGAGTTCAAGGCCAGCCTCATCTACTGATGAGTGAGTTCCAGGGCAGCCAGGTCTATACAGAGAAACCCTGTCTCGAAAAACAAAACAAAAAGATATGAAAACTTTAGTTCTTTCTCAACACTGCATGCCCACAATGGCTTTCAAGGACATCTGGGAAAGAGGTGCCCACTCACCACTGGCTTCAATCTCCACAATGACCAGAATACGGAATTTGCTTAGTGGCTCCTAAAGCTTCTATGAAATGACACATACTTGAAATGATACATATTTGAATTTCAAATTCAGGAGGAGTTGGGTGGCGGTGGTTCACACCTTTAATCACAGACAGAAGCTTATCATCTTTGAGTTCAAGGCCAGCCCGATCTACAGAGCAAGTTCTTGGAGATCCAGGACTACATAGAAAAACACTTTATCAAAGAAACTGAAAAACAGCAAAAACAAAACAAAACAAAAAACAACGAACATAAAGAGGTCAAGCAGTTCAATATTATGTTGTGAACTTGACCTGAGAACTTGCGCTTAGAGAACATTGCTGATGTATGTGAGCCCATAAGGATGGCTGTGGCTTAGACCTTCCTCAAGGTCACCCTGTGGGAATGGTAAATAGCAAGGCTTCCATAGGGTCTTAGTTAGGGTTTTACTGCTATAAACATACACCACGACCAAGACAACTCTTTTAAGGACAACACTTAGTTGGGGCTGACTTGCAGGTTCAGAGGTTCAGTCCAGTATCATCAAGACAGAAGCATGGCAGCATCCAGGCAGGCATGGTGCAGGAGCAAAGAGCTCTGCATCTTGTTCGAAGGTAAACAGAAGACTAGCTTCCAGGCAGCTAGGATAAGGGTCTTAAAGCCCACACCCACAGTGACACACCTACTCCAACAGGGCCACACCTCCTAGTAGTGCCACTCCCTGGTCCAAGCATATATAAACCATGACAGCCAGTGAGGATGGCTGAGGCTTAGATCTTCCTCAGGTTCATTCTGTGGAAATGGTCCATGACACGGCTTCCACGGGCTAGTATCATCATCATCATAAGGATGTGGGACTTCAAGAAAGGTAATTAGGTCCTGGGGTTCCACCTTCATGAATGGATCAATAATGCTGGTCTTCAAGAGTGGGGTGAAAACAGGCATGGTGGTGCTAGACTGTAATCCTAGCACTTGGGAACCGGAAGCAAGAGGAGCTGTGAAAATTCAAGCCCAACTTATTCTACACAGGACATCCAGGCCAGGTAGGAGTACATCGTGGAATCTGGTGGATAAAGATAATAACAATGGTCTGGGTCTTTTATAAGAGTTGAAGTAAAGTGGAAACAGCCTGCAGAGCTGTTTCCGTGTGCGTTATGAGTTACCTCCACTTCCTGCCTGGCTGTTATGTGGCCCCAGTTTTATGTTTCCAAATGGCATCTACTCACCATGGGACAGTCAGTATTAGAGAGACAAGAATTAGTTTATTTGGGGCTTAGCTCAGCAGTTAAGAACACATGCAGCCCACCGGGCAGTGGTGGCGCACGCCTTTAATCCCAGCACTTGGGAGGCAGAGGCAGGTGGATTTCTGAGTTCGAGGCCACTGGTCTACAGAGTGAGTTCCAGGACAGCCAGGGCTACACAGAGAAACCCTGTCTCAAAACAACAACAACAAAAACAAAACACAAAACAAAACAGAACAAAAGAACACGTGCTGCTTTTCCAGAGTCCAGTTTCCTCACTCACACCAGGGAGCTCGCAATTCTCCACATCTGATGCCTCTGCTTCCTCAGGCACCTACACTCTTGTGCACATACCCCCCCCCCCATACACACAAAGGTGCATATACCCCCCAACTGCCCCCCCACAGAGGTGTACATACTCACATGCAGACAAACACACCTATACATAATCCAAAACCTTTTTGTTGTTGTTGTTTTGTTTTCATTTTTGGTTTTTTTGTTTTTTGTTTTTGTTTTCTTTTGAGGCAGGGTTTCTCTGTGTAGCCCTGGCTCTCCTGGAACTCACTCTATATAGACCAGGCTGGCTTTGAACTCCTGAGTGCTAGGATTAAAGGTGTGCACCACTACTGCCCAGCCAAAATAAATATGCATTTCAAAATATATTTAAATATTTCAAATACATTTTTCAAAGTAATATATTTTGAATATATTTCAAAATAAACCTTGGGGGAAAAAATGGTTCATTCGAGAGTTGGCACCTTTTAAAACTACTTTGGGAGAATCGAGGCACTTTGATAGTGGCCTTTCACACAGAACAGGAGGGACAATGGGAACGGGGCAGGAAGGTTCTCAGTTGAACAGGGCTTGTGTTTCTCTTTGACCTGGGCATCCCCTATGGACTTCAGCCTCCCTGGGGCTAGCTCCTGCTATTCTTTAGACAAACACATCACTGTTTTGCACATTAAACTTCACAGCCTGGGTCAAGTTTTGTGTTTGCTGACACACAAAACTAAGGAGGGGTGGGGAGGTGTATTACATATTTTGATGTTATGTGAAGATTACCAGGCATTTTAGGTTTATGAACCCCCAAATCTTAATCACTTGAGTGCAGCTTTTTTTTTTTTATAACTGAAACCATGGGACCGAGGGAACAGAAACAAATTAACTCTGCAAAGGACAACTTGCAAAGGATCTGCCTTAGTCACTGCTGTAAGAGGACTTTACAGTTAGCCGAATCCATGTAACCCAAGCTATCTCAAACTCGTTAAGTACCTGAGGATGACCTTGGACCGTCAAGTCCAGCATGAGCAGTGCTGGCTCATTGCAAGTATGCTCCACTTTGTTTTGTACCTGTTAAATCCACACGCCCAACACAATAATTAGTTCCATGGTGATTTGCTGACTGCTGACTACATACAGGACGTTACAGGGATCAAACCTGGGGGACAATGATGTCACTTTATTGTAAGAACTACCAATACGATAGCAGCCTTTCCACACTTCACACTTCCGATCCATTTCTGGGCTGGAGCTGAAGCTCAGAAGAACGCCCGCCTAGCTCAGAGCAGAGTCCTGAGGTCCTTCCCCAGCTCCCCTCCCTTACGCGGGGTGGGGGGGGGAGAGCCTTCACTTACATCAAATAACGTTTAAAAGTTGATGTCTTCCTACATCCCCCAGCTTAAGATCTTTGAGTTTAAGGAAGAATAAAGGTTACCCCTAAATGCTCATTTACAAACATGAAGGTAGGTAAACTATCTGTTGAAATGCAACTGTGGGGAGAGCCAACAAACAGGGCCTAGCTATTTAGTGCAGGCAGAGCTCAGACTCGTGTGGAGCCTCAGGCCTTTAACATATTTCTCTCTCTCTCTCTCTCTCTCTCTCTCTCTCTCTCTCTCTCTCTCTCTCCCTCCCTCCCTCCCTCCCTCCCTCCCTCCCTCCCACCCACCTTCTAATGTCAGCCTCTAAATAAGGAGTGTCCAAGTGGAAATAGTATCAGCACTTGGGGAAAGCAAGTCCTCTGAGGGCTCTGAGGGCTCTAAGTGGGTGATTCCCGGTCCTCTGGGGCTGGCCGGAGACATTTCTTGCAGATAAGTTACCTTAGAGCCATGAAACCTCTAACGACTGGGTGGAAAATATTTGAAACCTTGTAAGCATTCCTGGGGGGAACCACAGTTTTTTTCCTTTCATGTTTTTCTGCCGCACAAAGGTGCGTTTTTTGAGACAGGGTCTTGCTATGCAGCCTAGGCTTGCTCGGTGCTCTTGACAATCCTCCTGATTCAGCATCTGAGTGCTGGGATCACGTGTGTGAACTACCACCGATTTTTTAGGGCACGTTCTCTCTCTCTCTCTCTCTCTCTCTCTCTCTCTCTCTCTCTCCCTCCCTCCCTCCCTCCCTCCCTCCCCTCTCTGAGACAGGATTTCTTTTTGTCACCCTGACCTGGAACTCACTTGGTAGTCCAGGCAGGCCTTACACTCTGCCTCCTGAGTGCCACCACACTTATGAGAGGAAGATTTTTATTACAATAAAGTCGCATTTCTTCTGGGAGGGGGCATAGTTATACATGTAGACATTTCTGGGTAGTTAGGTTTTTGGTTGTGAGCTTAGGCTTAGACAGCCGAGCCACCCACTGCTCCAGTCCTCATAATTACACTGCCGTCTGTCTGCATTAACTGGTGTTGAGGGTGGAGGTTGTCTCCTGTGCTCGATTTCAGGGAGGTCACACCCTGGCTCTGCATGGGTGGTTGACAACCTTCAGTGCACAGGAAGTAGTCATTGGGTGGCCGGGAGGAGTACAGGCGCCAGTCGCCAGTCGGCTGTCTTTTTTCAAGGTTGTGAGCCAGAGTTTCGAAATGAGCTCTGAGGCTCGCAGGGCGGGGCGGGCGAGCCTTCCGCATTCCTCTTCCGGCTGCAGCTGCAGTCGCCGCGTGGGGGAGGGGCGGGCTGCGGTCCCCAGAGAGCTGGCCTGGGCCAGTCCAGGGACAGCCTCCCAGGGCCACTGTGCCTCAGGACGCGGACACGACCTCTCTTCACTGTGTCACAAAACAGACAAAGGCAGGGCTCACCTCCTAGAAGCCTGAAAGGCCTCTGGGTTTATTTAAGTTCGCTTTAGATATTAAACCCTTGCACGCTCGTGGATCTTGCATCTGTAAAATGGGGCTAAACGAAAAATACAATAAATACGATATAAATGCAAGAGGCGGCGGAAAGGAACGAATTGACCGTGCTTTGTGGATGTTGTCACAAGCGCAACACAAAGACAGGGCCCAGACAAATGGCTGGCTTTGTTCTGGCTTAGTGTGGAGAGGCGCACTAGAATGAAGGCCTTTGTGCCTTCAGTCGGCTTCGGAGATTACACGGGAGAGGCTCGGGGAGCTGTTTTCCTGGCTGGAGACATTGTTCTGGAAACAGGCTAGGTTGCCATGGCTACAGCTCCCCAGGGCCAGGCCCTGCCCATTTCCAGGCAGCCAGCCTGTCAGCCTGTGCGGTGCCTGCTGTTACCGGGTCACTCCCGGTTTCGCAGCCTCCTCCCACCCAGCACTGCACCGGAATGCTAGGAAGTTCACATTTCCCAGATGGCCTTTGAGTCCGAAAATAAAACCCTGCGCTTGCCAGGCCTGAATTTTTCTTGAAACAGAAAGTCAGCAGACTGAAAGCTTGTTGAAGGCAGGCACCGTCTTTTCATCGGCGTCACCAGAACCATGTCCTCCACCCAGAGTAGGCTGTCACACAGTAGGCGCTTTAGAAGAGCTTGGCAAGCATTTGGCACCCGGGTGGCGGTATGGTGTCAGGTTAAAAGCACGGATTTTGGAGCCAGTATCTTTGTCTGACAAGTTATAGATCGATAGCGCGACCTAGTCCTTTCGAACTTTATTTTTCTTATCTCTGAAATGGGAACAGCAATGCCGTTCGTTCTCAGGGATGTACAGTGGCTAGGCTCATGTAAGATAGGAAATGCACGGTACAGTGTGGGGCTTCTAATTATTTCTCCTGCGAATCTCTTTTTAGCTTATTACATCGTCACGTAAAAGCGTTGCCCTCCATAAAGACAGCCACTTCCTTCCCAAGCAACAACCACACGAACCAATAGGGCCCAAAGCAGCTTCCTTATAATAACAGATACTGACATTTATGCCTAAGTACTTTAGTCAATATTTGTGTAATAAGCATCAGATAGAGCACGCCTGGCAGTAACAAGCTTCCGTGCTTCAAATGTCACACATAAATAATGCAAAGTGGGCTGAGTTCCCACAGTCCCTCCAGGTGTCTAAGAATGGCATTTCAACATCTCAGCCCTGGGTCTCCTGTCTTCTTCCTCAACATCTCAAGGGTATTTCTGATACTCCAGGGCGCCCCTCCCCCATTCCCACAGCAGACTGGCTTCTAAGTCTCCAGGCACTCCCAAGCTGACTCTGGAAAATTCCAACCATTTGGGGACACTCAAGAGAGGAAATCCACTCCCCTCATTCTCCTTCCCAAATGAGATTGACCTGGGCTCTGTCTCTGTTCTGGAACTCCTCAAAGTCCTGGGAGATTTCCAAGGGGAAGGGGTGGAGGCTGCCCGGAAAACCTCTGAACCCTGTGTGGCCTTAGGAAGCGCACACCCTACACATCTGTTCTACTAGGTGACAGCTGGTTCCTGGAGTCACTCTGGGGCTGATGGACAACCGGCTGGGGAAGGGGAGGCAGTCAAAGACTAAACCATCGTCCCAGTGTTGTCTGAGATTGCTGTTGCTTTTGAGTTGAGGTGTGTACAGCATGTGCCCATTTGGGGAGACATAAGAGAGCATGTTGGCTGAACTGGGCACATGCGTTGTCAACGCCGGTGCAGAGGATGCTGAGATGTCCAGTTGTAAGCCGGGTGCGCCCTAGGCATGGTGGCTGTGTGTTTTGTGCTTTGCAAAGATATGCAAACATAGGTGTAGGAAAATGGTGTGAACTGCAGGGTGTGAAGTGCTCTTCTCAGTGCTTCAGACCCTCCTACATCCCTCCCCACCCCCACTCTCCAGCACAGGCAATAAACCAGGCCGCAAAATCCTCCCCTCCCCCCAAGGTCTTGGCCAGCTCTCTGAAAACTGATATCCTGAGGCCCTTTTTCCCCTCACCAGCTACAATCAGAAGCGGCAGGAGGGAAAATGTGGACTGGATCTCAACAGAGAATCCAGACTCTGAGCTTTCTCTGCGATGCTATGTAACCGATCCGGCACCAGGCCTGGTATTTCATCTGACTTTGCCACCCCAAGAACAGGGTTTCGGTTCCAGCAAGTCCCCCGTTCAGTCCGGTTCTGTCTGTAAAATCCATGCAGGATCTTCCATTTCACCCTGGTGAAGTATCAGCCTGTGGCTGTTGTTCTCAATCCAGCTCAGAAACTGGCTCAAACCGCCCTGAACTGGATTTGGTGGCTGTTGAGACACAGTTTCTGCCTCTTTGTTAGGGCGGAACCCGCCCCATTCTGTACGCCTCCCGCCCCCCCTTAGCCCAGTGTCCTACAGCAATCTCCCACCCTCTCCACACCACCTCTTTTCCTTTTTCTTAAAAAAAAAAAAAACTAAAAAAACAAAAAACAAAAAAACAAAAACCATGAAGTAGATTCAATTATTTTTTTAAAAAAATGGATCTAGGTTGTAAGCCTTTTGGCTTTATGATATTAGTTATTTCTGAGTTGTTATCTAACCAGTTAACATGGTGCCCTTCAAATGACGTTCAGACAAACCCAGAAATAACTACATTTTTTCCGCCACTGACTTAAGGTTTTGGGTAGAGTTCATTGTTCACTTCCATTTCATTAACTATAAAGTAAAATAATTTGCTAACTTTTATTAACATGCAGAGCTGGTGAACAGTATCTGTGCTCACCGTCCTCCGCAACAGTAGACTTGCCAGAGGAAGAACTGAAGGACCCAGATGGTTTTGTTTTTCCAGTTGTAACTTTAACCCTGGATCAGATGGTGTGAACTGTAGGATGAAGGAGGCTGACTGGGGCGGGGGGGCCGGGGGGGGAGTTGTGTGGAGCAGGATTCTTCCCAGATTCAGGACAAAACACGGCTGTGACATTTGTACATTTTACATCTATCACACGTAGGCATTTCTTATGTTTGGGGACTAGACAGGAGCCTCGCCTGCTGTGAAGTGAAATTCTTCCAGGTTGTCCACATGAAAATGCCCAGTTGTATGTCTATGTGATTATCTCAATAAAAAGATTGTCTCGATTTTTCTCATTCTTTTTTTTTTTCTTTAACAAGAATTTCTAATTTTGAGTTTTTTGAGAACTCAGGAAGAGACACTGGAATAAGCAACCATGATCTGGGTGTGGCTCCATGTGGTGTTAAACGGCTCCCTCGTCGCCCTCTGCTGGCCAATTCAGGCAATGTGTGAAGCTGTCAGAAAGCTGCCGAGCAGCCTTGAGTTTCTTGTCCAAACCCGAATGCCCAGCTGCCTAGCTAAGAATTCCTCATTCTGGCTGTTTTATATGCGTCTCTTTTTATTCCTAATGCATGGCATTTGAAAGAGGATCACCATATTTTGCTTCTATAATGTTTTATGGGATCAACTATAAATTAATTACTTAGAGTTCAGCCCTAAATCTAGAGACAAGGACTGGAAATGGCCTTTTTTCTCCTGAGTTAAGAACCAGAGTTAAATGTGGTGAGAAGCAGCACCCAGGAAGTGGTTGTGTTGATCAGGGGTTCAAAGTTCTGTAAGAAGTTTGAGGCCAGTCTCAGATACACGAAACCCTGCATTTTACAAAACAAAACCCAAAGTTGTTTATTTAAGTAATTTCAGTGGAGCATAAAGTTCTGGGGAAAGGCCAATTATAGCAGGCAGTGTAGAGCAGCAGCTATTTATTTACAAGAAAGGGAAGATGGCCACTCCCTCCCTGCCTCCTTCCTCTGTCTGTCAGAGTCTGCTGTAGGTACCTTTGGTTTCCTGGAATCCTGAAAATGAATACGAGATAATCGTGAACCCATCCGTTGAATTTGGTTCTCGGAGATTCAGGAATGCTAAGTAATTATTGTAGGAAGGCACAAAGTATTTATATAGAACTTTCCAGAATGTGACACCATACGGGGATTCTAGAGAGGTAGAAATTAAGGTTATGGCCTTTGGCCTTCTGCGGTCAAGTGAGCTCTTTGGGACACACTCACTCTCTGATCCATGCGCTGGAAATCTGAAGGAACCCCAGTGTCTCATACTCTCCCGGCGTATGCTTTTCCTCCTCAGGCCGTGCGGAACATTTGGCCTCCTTCCTCCTCGCAGTCTGCTTGGTTACAGTACCCGGAAGCGGTGTGCAGAGTACGTCGTGTGCCCTGATATGGTGTGACTGTTCTCTCATAGGTTCACTGTCTCCCTTAAGCCATGTCCGTCTGATCAAACTTGTACAACTGGCTTGTACCTGCTAAAAAAGCAAGGAATACATATATGCGTTGAACAGACGGATTAAATTCAAATACCATTCTCTTGGCCCAACCCCATTACTTCCTGGAGTCTTCTTTTCCTACCACATGGCTCTTTGGACACTTGACCTTCTTTGCCTTTTCCCTCCTGGACTTTTAACAGTTGCTGACTCCAGCGTTTCTTTCCCCGGGTGAGAGCTGACCTCTCACAATTCAGCTCCTAAAGTCATGATAAATAAACCTATAACCCCAGCAGTCCGTGTTTTCTCTTCAGTGGTACTCGATTCACCCTGAGGTGGGACTGGATTCCAGGGGTGCCGTCTGAGCATGAGGTTGTTTGTCTGGGCGGTGCTCCCACCCCCACCTCCAACAGTACTTCCTTTGTTCCGGCGGAGAAACGCTGTACCATTCCATCTTCTAAGAGAGCTCCCTCTGCTGGCCACAGGCGGACTTGTCTGTCCTAGATTTAAACGCCCCCCCCCCCCCATTTCAAGTGGCAATTTGCATGGTCCTGAGCCTGTGTCTCAGACATCAGTCCTTCTCTGGTTGTCAGCCACACCCAGGAATAATTTATTGAAGCTTTATTTTCTTTCTCTCGCCTCCGTTCTCTATTTTTATTTCTTCCTTTTCTGAGACATACTCTTTAGCCCAGATTGGCCTCCTGCCTCCACCTTCCGAGTCCTACTTAGGCTTACATTCTCCGGCTACCATTCCCAGATTATTTGGTGCTGAGGATTGACTTCTGGGCTTTGTGGATGTTACGCAAGCACCCAACCAACCGAGTTACAGCCCCACCCTGGCTTTCTTGGATTCCTTCTATAGTTCCAAAAGCTCTTATTCTGTATTCTCTGAGCTGTTGTCTGAATTTTAAATTTTTAAGTGTTTGCGCAAGTGCATGTGTGCGCAAGCAGAAGCCAGAGGAGGGTTCCAGGGCACTCCTTTTTCATTCTCAGCCTTATTCCTTTGAGGCAGGGTCTCTCTCTGAACCAAGACCTCTTGTTATTTCAGGTAGACTGGGAAGTGAGCAAGTCCCAGCAATCCTCCTGTCTCCACCCTTCTCAATGCTGCACTTTCAGATTTAGGCAGGTTCTCAGCTGGTTTGTTACATGAGTTCTGGGATTTGAACTCTGGTCCTCATGGCTTTGAATGTGCTGAGCCATCTCTCCTGCCCTGGTTGTTTGTATTTTGACTCAGGGTGTTGCTATGCAATCATGGTTAGCCTGGTACCAGCCCTGTAGTTTCGTAACCCACTGTGGACACAAACTCATGATCATCCTGAGGACTGAGATTACAGGCATGAGCCAACACACTCCCAGCTCACCAAATGGTTTTGCCTAACTAATGGTTCTATAACTGTTTGCATTTTCTCGATTGCCTGTAACTTGTAGCTTTCACTTCATTTTAATAATAATATATAAAATTTTGAGACATAGTTGTCTCTATAGACTAGGCTGGACTGATACTCTGCATGTTGAACTCCCAGCAATCCTCCTGCTTCAGTTTCTGGAATGCTGGCATCACAGGCTGGCAGTTCAGCACTCTTAGGAGATGGTAAAAGGCTGGAGGTGAATCTTAATTAAAGAAGTAGCTTCTGGGCCTGATCTCAGGGACTGACAGGCTTTTTTTTTTTTTTTTTCTTTTAGACAGGGTCTCTCTATGTAACCCTGGCTGTCCTGGAACTCTCTAAGTAGAACAAACTGGCCTTGAATTCAGTAGTCTGTCTGCCTCTGCCTCCCAAATGCTGGGATTAAAGATGCGCCCCGGAAAAGTTGTCCTCTGACTCTTGCTGCTGCATGGTCAACAAAAACTAAGACATTTCCTTTTGCCCATCTTCCCTTAGAGACCTTTGACCTCAGCACAACCAGCTGACCATGGACTGAATCCCAGACAGAAGCCTGCAACACACAGAGCCTAGTTAAATCTTTATCCCTCCTGTAGATGGTTTGCTTGGTGTTCGTCACACAGACCAAAGCCGCCTCATACCGCTCTGTTCTGCACGTGTGTGCAAGCAACCACTGCATGCAGAAATATCTTTCATCCTCATGGCTGCTGTTAAGACAAAGCACCACCAGCTTTACTACGGGAGGCTCAGAAAGGTTAGGTAGTTTGCCTAATGTCACACAGCTGTAGATGGCAGAGCATTGACAAACCCAGGATGTTTTCTGAGTCTCTGTTAACCTGGCACATGCTCAGTGTTCTTAGACGGCATTCTTTTGCTCTCCTTCCTTGCTTTCAAGAGGCTGAGTCATCACTTCCTCAGGAAATCTTAATATAAATCCGTGGAAACTGAGTGCCAGCTCAACCCCCAGCTTTTTCAGATGAGGAAATGCAAGTCTAAAGGCGGGGATCCAGGCCCGGGTTAGTGGCACCTGACTACAGCACCAGTGATCGGGAGGCAGAGGCAACAGGATCACTGGGAGTTCCAGGCTAGCCTTAGGACTTGATCCTGCTTGCTCCGTTCTGTATTCTTCTGACCATTTTGAAAAAAACAAAACAAAACAAAAAAACCCCTCCCCTTTTGGTGCTCATTTCTGAGTCTGTCTTTTTGACATGTCGCACCATACAGCAGAGCCTTAACTGGACTGAGCTACTTCTCCACTCTGCACAGTGAACAAGGAGCCTGAGGGTACGTCCTGCCAAAGTGACAAGAGGCTGCAAGGTGCCCCTGAGCCACATTCATCTCCTTCATCTTCCTTGTTGCTGTGGAGGTGGTTGTGTTTCTTCTTTCCTCCCCACCCCCACAACTGTTGCTTTTGTGGCCATTTCATGTAGCTCAGGCTGGCCTACAATACCCTTGGTAGTCAGGGATAATTTTGACTCTGATCCCTCTCCCACCTTCCAAAGTGAGAGGATTATAGACACAGACTGTGCCTGCATTGCATTGGTTGTGTCTTTTTGTTTAAATGGAGCTGGGAATTTAACCTGGGGTTTCCTGTGGCCAGGCAAGTGCAGTGCGGGAGCACACGCTCCCGCCTCCCCCTCTTCCTGTTTCGGCTTGCCACCTGACCCCTTTGCTTCTGAGACTGTTTGAATACCGCTGTCTTGAATGTCATCCTAGCAAAAATTCACCCCTGCCCAGAGAAGGAGTCTGAGCTAAGACTGTGACAGATGCCTGGTCTTTCCCCCAGATGAAAACATAAAAGCACAAATTTATGTCTTTATTATACTGTGATCTCAATATATTCCCCTGTATAATCTTATTTCAGTAACATTTTTTTAAAAAAGATTTGTTTGTTTATGTATATGAGTACACCATTGCTCTCTTCAGACACATCAGAACCCGTTACAGATGGTTGTGAGGCACCATGTGGTTGTTGGGAATTGAACTCAGGACCTCTGGAAGAGCAGCCAGTGCTCTTAACCACTGAGCCATCTCTCCAGCCCTTAAGTAACTTTTAATTGAACGATTACTATTATATTTTCTAACATAATCTTATTGATCCCAGACTGGCCTTGAATTGTTTGCTTTGTGGCCAGCGATGAGGTAACCTGGGCCTTGTAATTCTACTGTGTTCACCTCCTGAGTGCATGTGTCACCTCCCAGGTGTATAAACCGACGGCATAACCTAGGTGCCATAACCTCTCCGAGGGATGATTAAAGAAAAGGCTTTATGGTAGGTATGAGAGAACCGCCAGAGGCAGCGGGAAGATTCCAGAACAGAGAGAGAAATAAGTAGGGTGAACGCAGCCAGCAGACTGCACATGGCCAGGGCTGTCTGAGAGGGGGTTAGAGCAGGAGATGGGGAAAGCATGGTGAGAGGTGCAGGGTGCAGAGCGAAGAATAGAGCTAGAGTGAGCGAGGCTAAAATGAGAGGGTTACAGAGAGAATGTGTAGCTCCGGGGAAGTGACCCAGTGAGCTGGAGGGAGCACGGGGGGGGGGTGGGGGGGGGCAGACAGAAGGGCCTGGAAATGTGGAACAGGTATTGAGATATGGCTAATCAATCACAGTGGTCGACCGCTGTGTCAAATTGGAAGCAAGCTTTAACTAAATACTGGCCAGGTTGATAGAGGATCTGGCCAGGTCCATCTCTGGGTCCCCAAGAAATGGCCCCGAGTCACATTTTGCAGGGGCTTAAAAAGGTAAAACCTATAATGCACCACATTTCCCGCATGTGGTCCAATGAGGGCAAACTCACATCCTGACGTATTTCCTGTCTACATGTGATCAAGCACATCCGGTGCAGATGGGCTCAGCGGATATAGGACAAATAGGAACTTATTCTTAACTGCACTTAAACTCTCCTGCTTTAGTGGCACCAGCATTTATTTTGTGATACCAGCATGCACTTTGATATGCTGATAGGCACCACAGGAAACCGTTTGCCCTTCTGCCAGAGGTAAAGGGAATGACGCCTTTTGAGAGAGGGGGGCCAGCTTCTCAAATACCTGAGGAATGCTAGCATTCATCTAACCACCAGAAATCCTCCTATAGAGCAGATTAAATTAAAAGTTACTTAAATAAAATTTCACAGAGGAATATGTTGAGATCATAGTATAATAAAGATATGAATTCTGACCTCTACCTATACCAGGCATACACATATAAATTAGGACTAAGGACATAACTCCAGCACCCAGCAGGCACGCAGCCCATGGGTTTGATTTTACACCACCACATAAAGTCAAGAATGGTAGCACATGCCTGTTGTCAGGCCAGAGGAAACTACACAGGGACTGCCCTTGAAGGTGCTGCTACTCTGGGGGATGGGCTCTCCCCTTCAGAGGACAGCACAGACCACCCGAGGAGTATCTTAGTTAATTCCAGGTCCTCCTATCAAGTTGACAACCAATCTATCACACCACCTCCATAAGGAAGATTAACTTTTTTCTCATTATCCCCTCAAAGAATTTTGTCTTGGGCATGGAGAAGTATGAGGAAGTGCAGAGTGGCTTTCGCATCCTGGCAGTAAACGGTCGCAGGTTTGT